GCAGGATTCCCCTGGAGAGCTTGACCCTCTGCTACTGTTGACAGTCCAACTAAGAGAGGAGTAAAATAGTGCATCTTACTCCTCTCTGTTTCTAGGGACGTTGATGTCAGCAGATACTGCACACACTGGAGGTGCGGTCCTAGACTAAGTCCAATCATCACCGGTAGCTCTACACACACCCTGCATGGACAATGTTCTAAAGGACCTTGACGCCACCAGTCTGCAGAAAGCAGGGCAGGAACATATACAATGTAGCTGTTTCGTCACTGTGGTCTTTCTCTGTGATTTCCCTCCTTCTCTGTGATTTCCCTCCTTCTCTGTGATTCCCCTCTTTCTCTGTCCTTGCACAGTCGGTGGCCGATGGGGACTTGCACAATACATAACTTCGTGAATCTCGAGTGACCATTTCGACGAAGAAAATGTTTTGGGGATTCTCAGCATAGCATTCAGTGTCCAATGCTAGTGTCAGCATGCCACTGAACAGTGAACACTCTCCTATTACTGTGACGCACACGGTTGCAGTGTGTGTAACTATGGTTACTGGCAGGAGTAGCCTTTTGCAGCTGTTAGTGTTGGATCTACGACTCCTAACCAACGACTCGATGCATTCCATGCAGCAATCAGTGCGCTGTATGTGAGATTAATTGGTATCCACTGTCAAGATGTGCGTGCGCAATTGAAGCACCAGACCCTAGTAAGAACGTGATGTGTTGTCTCTCAGCTGCAGATCCAGTCATAGCACAGCGTGTCCAGTGCAGGAGGAAGTCCCCCTGAGTTCTCATTTCATTACCTACTCGCAAACTTCATCCTCCCCTGGGAAGTGAAATGTCACATTCTGTGAGGCAACATCTCGTGTTAGTACACGTACCATGTGCAATGTGTACTGATTTGTCAGTGACTGCTATCGCTCTCCCCAGAGAGTTAAAAATTGTGCTGGCTGCAGATATACATAACATGCACATGTACAAAAAATTCAATAATCAACATTGTACTGTACATAATTGTTATCGCTGACTGAGTGCGAGGTACATGTACATGTACATGACCAGCGCATCAGTGAACACTGCTGCCTGCAGGTGACATACGTATATACGAGTCGTACAATGCACCTGTGAAGCAATGCTCAATCAGGTATGTACACTGAGCGAGGAACGCCTTGCACTGGACACTCTGGACCCGCCCGTCTCTGCTTCTCCACCTTCCAGTACACAATGCCCACTGGCTGTGGGCCGTACTGACACTGTGACAGCCTGCAGCCTGACAGACCGGAGCAGGGTGAAAACAAAAGTACACAACAACCTTCCACTTTAGGACAGACTGTTCTTCTCTCCTGCACCACCACCACCACCCCGTCGACGATGACACACACACACAGCGTCCAGGGACCAGGCAATGCACAGTGGTGTAGGGAGTATACACAAGAGCAAGACAATACAGAATACACAGAACGAATATGAATGCAATGATGATGATGACAGCTTGCACACAGTATCCAGCGTACATACACGTACAACCACTGTCAATCAGTGATTGGTTAGGACGATCTCAGTCGGGTAGACGACACACGACTCGTTCACTTACACACTGCGAACTCTGCTTGTGGTTGTTTTGTCGTCACCGAGTGGCCAACTCCTTCAAATCGTTCAACTACTGTACTCGCGCCACCACGGCACCAGTATTGCACATGCACAGGGATGTGGTACAGTGCCAAATGGCTGAAGCTAATGATCTGATGTTGGACGACGCCCCTAGCCCTGCTCATGCCACTGCGTCAGCGTCGTATGGTTGGCAGTGGACAGGGGAAGGGAGTCCGAACCATGGTATAAAGTTAAAACGTTACAAGTGTCTGTTCCGGGATAGGAATAGAATACACACTGATGCCTGCTGTAGTGTCTGACACACTGCCATCGGCCGCTGCCACAATCTCCGCCGGCGGGAGATTGGAGCATTTGCAGAGAATGAGTCGTGTACTTCACATGTAGACTCTACCACAGAGAATGAGTCGTGTACTTCACATGTACCGGTATATTCCACGATTACTATAGAACTGATAATACAAGTCAAGTGCATGTACATATACAGGAATACAATTTTTTTCAGGTAACAATACAATACAATACATTGTACATATACATACTACATGTATATGTGAAGGACAAGTACCGAGAGAATACCTGATCATAGGCTGATGTTTGTCGTCTTACATTATAATACTAGTACATGTTACTTATTGTACATGTACAGGTGCGAGGTGCACGCATGAGCATGACGAGGAATCTACCGCCGAACCAGGCAATTACACTGTACATGCTCAGCAGCTGTACATCTACTTTGCTTGGCTATAAAAGCGAGCCATTACTTTCATTATGTTCGTAGTTGGTAACACCCACTAACCTCCAAGTCGTGCCTCCCCTATGCAATTCCCAATATTTCTTTCTTTGCAGATGATACCACTGTCCTTGCTTCCTCCCCATCTCACACCACCCTGTACCCCAAAGTTCAGACCCGCATCAACGACATTGTCCACTGGATGAGCACTTGGTACCTCAAGCCAAATGTGACCAAACCTAGCTGCTCCTTTTTCCCCCTCCCACAGATCCGGTGCCCATCTTCCACTTTCCCGACGATCCCGGTCACCTTATCTCTGTAGCGTCCCACCATTAACACCTTGGCATTGTCATAGATCCCGCCCTCTCTGGTCCTACCATCCTGACCATGTGTCCTCCCGAGTATACCGATCTGTCGGAAAGCCAAGGATTAATTTATAAGAAGAAAAGACTGAGTACCAAAGTTGGTCAGTGTCGTGCAATGCCGGTTATCCCATGTAAAGCAACTGGTGGTGGTAGTGGATATTTTAGCGTACTAGTAACTTGTCATGTTGTTGTTGTTGTTGTGTTTATTTTAATTCGCAAACCAAACGGGCAGATCTGCCCAATGAAAAGGTGGCGAATGCAGATAGAAAGCAGTAATAAATGAAATTGGGGACTGATGTAATTAGGATAGAGGTGGAGAAAAACTAAGCCAGCTGATCATCAAACAGGACGTCTGGTACTCTAGGTACTAAGGCCAGTAAGTGTGTGCGGGATCATGCTGGCGCGGAACTGGCGGAGCGTGGAGATGGCACGTACATCGCTGGGTAATGTGTTCCACAGCTGGGCGCCCCGGAACGCGAGGCAACCCTTGCCGAACCTGGTGGAAACTGGCGGTTGGCGCAGACCCATGGTGGAGTGCAACCTAGTTGGGCCAGCTGCCGAAGGAACTAGGAGGGCTTGCAGTTCAGAACTTGCGTGCTCATTCCGAGACCTCCAGACCAGAACGATGAACTTCTGCCTGAATATCTCGGATACTCTGTAGGTGTCCAATTGCAGCAGGAGGGTACGCGCGGAGGTGTGATGCGAGAGTCCGAAAACCGCCCTTGCCGCCCGATTCTGCATGACTTGTAGCCGATCCAATTGGTTGGCAGTAAGAAGCGGGGAAAACGCATTGGATCCGTACATCAGGTCAGACATGATGATGTACATGTAGCTCTTCGGTCCTCTTTTCTTCTTATAATTTTTATAAATCATACATTCTTCCCCTCTTCACGTACGGCTTCCCTGCTTGGTCCACCCTTAACAAAACCCAAATTGAGAAATTGGAAGCTCTTCATCGCCGTATAACGCGCATAATATTTCGTGCAGATCGTTACGTCTCAAATTCAGACTTACATGCTGCTAAATCCACTACCACTGTATTTGCACTGTGACACGACATTGATGCTTCCAAGTGCACCCTGGCACATTCCATTCGTTTTGACCTGCACCCTGGTCGTTTTTCCCGGCTTTCTTTTCCTCCTGCTCCACGTGGCTCCAACTGCCTCCCAGTGTTAGGCAAGCTCCAGATAATGTCCAAATAATTCCGTACCCTCGTCAGCCAGCACTTCAGTATCTTCCAGTAAACAGAATCACAGTCACCACTTCCGCCGCATAGTTCGCTGGGCATTCCATTCCTTTGTAAGTTGCTACTGTAATCCCTTCCCCCGTTCTGTACGTGCTTTTAATTTTCTTTTTTTCTCTTCTTCCGTGGTTGGTCTCACCCTCTCCTCAATTCAATTGCCTATCTCGACATGCTACGACGTGCAGAAATAAATATAATGAACAGTTTGAAGGGAGGGTTACCTAGAAGAATCGAAAAAAGGTTTGAAGGGAAGGTTACCTCAGTGAACAGCTTTGAAAGGAAGGTTGCCTTGAAGAAGAAAAGCTTTGAAGGGAGGGTTGCCTTCAAGACTCATAACCAGCTTTGAAAGAAGGGTTGACTTGAAGACTCGAACACAGCTTTGAAGGTGGTGTTGCTATGAAGTAGGAATAGCTTTGAAGGAGGGTTGCCGTGAAAAAACACACTTTGAAAAGGGGATTGGTAACCCAGCTGTCAGGAGTGTATATGAAAGAAGCGAAGATGACGCCTGCACATGCACGGGCTTAACATCAGACTTACATGTGCATGGACTGTGATACGAATGTTTCAGTTTTATTAGTTACTTTTAACTCAAAGTTTCATGGCACATGTACTAGGCAAGCCTCAGATAGCAAAGATGAAAAAGAGGTACAAGTAAAGAACAAACGTATAATATCCTGATGTGGTGTGAAGCACTTCACAAAGAATAGAAGGACAGATGAAATTTGACAGCAGGGAGAGGATAATGTGAAGAGTGCGGACAGCATCAGAACTTCTGATATCTTCAAAATACTTTACGTGAATGGAAGAAGCAGGAAATTGTCATATCCGAGTTTACAAGGTCTTAACCGTTTTAATTAGATGCGCCCACGCACAATATGTTTTAAGTTATCGCGTATCCAGTAATTAGAAGAATGCATGAGGAGAAATACCCTGCTTTCTCCCACGCAGACTTGTGTGATTTACTCATTAGCAGAGCTCGGTTCCTATCAGACTTACTTGTAGTTACGCATGCATTACCAGGTAAACATTTAAGTCACGCTCGAGTTGTCACAAAGTCATTTAAGTCACGTTTGAGTCATCACGACTCAGTAAAATTATCTTATCACGTCCATGGATGAATGACACTCTTAGCCATGCAATTTAAACAAGACTGCTTTATCTCAAAACCGTTAACGAACAAGACGGAACAAGAAAGCGCCCACAAGCGAACTTACAACGTTACGACAGGCCCAGCGGGATGTTTCGAATTAAATAAGCCAGCATATCGTGAGTGCAAAAAGATCATTGGCCAGTTTTTTTTTAATTAAAAAAAGTGTTGTTATTGTCGCTCTCATATGAGCCGTGATATAGTCTTTCTTTATAGTCGCAGGATGAAGTGCCTTGCACCAGCAGGAGGGATAGAGAGTGCATTGCGTTGTGAACAGTCCACCCGGGGGTGAGGTGCCGAGCGTGTCAGCAGAGTCGGCAGTCATCACCGTTGTCTTGGTGCTGGTAGTGTAACTTCACTAGTAGAAATTATAACAATAGCACTGGTTGCTTTAGCTAGTGGTCATCAGCAAGTGACGTGTCCTGCCGCTGGTTCAGCGCTGCTGCTGGTGTTGCTGCTGGTGGTGCTGTGGCAGGGGGACGTATCGATGGCCGTGGTTGTGGTGGCCATGGTGACCAGGGTTGTACATGCCGCCGCCACCCTCCACTGGTGGCATGGCTGCAGTGTACTTGAGCAGTCCGTTCAGGTAGCAGATCAGCGTGCCCAGAACACCACTGATGGTGGTCACGCCAAAGCTATGCGTGATCAGGCTGAACGAGCGGAGGCCGGTCATCGGCGCGTCCGGATTGTCCCTGTCCACTTCCTCCTGAGCTATATAGTGCTCCAATAGATCACGCAACTCCGACACCAAGTTCCTGTGAGTGAACAGTAACAAGAAGAAAGTAGGATGGGTGGTGTTCATTAATTTGACGGAGTTGTAAAACGAGACAAAATCGGCGCCCAGGACTCCACCCGGGGACCTCCGTTATAGGCCAAGTCTAACGCCAGGTATGTGTGGCATAGTCATTCAGTAAAACGATTGGCTTGGACGTATGATTGATTCCTCTTGTTGATCAGTTCATCACTGGTGAACTGTTTCACCTCCTTTTGTTCCATAGCCTAACATGAAGTACCATACATACAATGTATTCCTGTGGGGATGGATTGGCTCTGGGTAGTTTTCCCTGGGGAGTTGTTATGTTATGCCTGTTGTTCGCTTAAAATGATTAGGAAGTCCAATGACAGATGAGCATTTAGATTTACTGAAGCATTACACTACTAAACCGTAGTGGCTCAGAACTCGTGACCCGTAAGATATTTTGCAGACGATCATCAGCGGGTTGTTTTCTTCTCGGACAAGAATATGGTGACCGCATGCACTTCAGTATCTCTTTCCCACTGATACATGTGGTATTGCAGCCAAAGATACAACTACTGTCCTGTGCATGATACTTCACAGAACATGTGCCGCCTCTGATCTTTGCATGGGATGCGCTGGAATTAGTATAACCGTCTCTTTCTCCAGGCCAGCTGTGAGCAGAAAGCTTTGCCTCTGGGAGAAAACTGCACTCAATATCTGCTATGCCAGTGCCTGGGCACCTGTCATAGCGTACATAATTCGCTGACAGCGCAGTGAGATGATACAGTAGCAACAGGTCCATTACTAGGCATGTTGTGTGTGTGTGCAGTACTCAGACTGCTCTCCTTGCTCTGTGGGATGGTCACCCCTGTTGGGTGCGTGTGCATGCATGGACGCATCTTACAGTGCTTGCACCGCTGCAGCAATACACTACTCGCATACTGAATTGAGCCCTCCTACTCTACTGCATCATGCATCATGCTAACTGGCGGAACTGCTAATTATAAAAAACCTATCCAGTTTCACCAAGAAACGGTCTGAATTTAGCCTAACATGTAATATGTAGGAGAAGTCCCGCGGTGTGACAAAAAGCACAATGGATCTGTGGCAAACGGAATGTTTGAACTAGTCAACAAGTGTGGAAAATGCCTGTCCCAGGGAAACGTTTAAAAGTGCAGATCGTTACTTCCATTGTGCTCTCAGTGCTGCATGGGCCTGCTGCTGCATTGCTAGTTAGTTGTTATCTGCAATTGACAGAAAACTTGTGAGTGTTCAGGGAACTTGTGAGTGTTCAGGGACAGCTGCAAGGATAGGAGAAACTACACTGTACTTACACACAAACTCTTATGTTCTGCTGCTCCTCTTCTCTTGCGCCAGGTCGCTGCAAGAACGGCTCTTTAGCATGGGCGACGTTACGCGCTAGCTCAGCAGCGGGGAAGATTGCCTGGCAAACCTTTGTGAACTGATTGGACAAGTCCTGCGCTTCCGCTGCAGAGTCAAACACAAAAAGCAAGATTGGTGAGTGAGAGGTGTACGGTATCAAGCGGCTTCCTTGCTCACACACAACAGACATGCAAAGCGCCACGCAAGAAACAACAGCAGAGGTGCGCGTGCCATGACCTAGCAAAACTCACACTCAACTAGCGACGTCAGCATTGATACGCTGGTGGCCTTTCTGCGGCCTGGTGGTAGTACTAGTCCACAGTCCTCCAGCTTATGACGAAGGTCATTACCACCATTCTTACCCTTGCCCCTGCAGCGAGAAACACGCCGGCAAAAAGAACACCACATCACGCCAGCAGGATTGAGTTCCGGAGATGAAATCAAGTTTCACACTCTGCATTATGCGTAGGGCAAGAACAGGTGGTTGATTCACGAATGTGGCATGTCAACAGGATTTATCTGAAGCAGGCAAGCGTGCCATGAAAAACATGCTTTTGGATGGAGAGCACCTTTCGTAATTAATCCCCAATTGACAATAGTAATATGCTGTCAGTGTTTCATAAACTGCATGGAACCGGGCCCTATGCCAGTAGTTAGACACTTAAACTACTGCGGTATTCTCTTACAACACCAGTATCTGACACCAGGGCCATCGATGCCCCGGCAACAATTTACAGCATAATTGTGTCTGGGAATCTTACACATCAAACGTCTCCCCTGGTGTGCAGAACAAATTTACGATCCATATTTCTGACGTTTAATGGCGCAAAGTGTCCCAGAATCAGACATTCCAGACTGTCACATCGATCAAGCGAAAACACCAGAGCGCAAGTAGAATGGCATGCCCTACCTCCGGAGCAGGCCTCCCAGCAGCGATGTGTTCAGACATTCGGGAGGATTGATGCGTCGCTTGATCTCCCCGACGGTGACGTTGTACTTGTTGGAGGAACCCAATAGCGAGAAGCGGCCCTGCACCCTCTCAAAGATGTCTTTCGGATGAACGGGCCGCCGTATAACATAACGTGGGCTGCTGCCTGCATGGGGAAAGACGTGGAAAGAAAGAAAGAACGACATCGTGACTTGTTCAGCTAGTAGAGTTGAAGCTAATCGGCCAGTTCAGGATTTGTATTCAGCACCCCCCCCCCCCCCCCCCTTAGCAATGTGAAATACACTTCAGAAGAAAGCAGCATACTTAATCATGAAATGTCTGGTTTGTACATGACTGTAAGCCAGGCTGTAGATCTGCTGTTATCTTCCAAGCGGGCAGCAGTATTTGAGCAGTGTTCAACGCAAACTGTTCTGCCTTAAGGACATACGAAAACTACCCCACAATTAGGGTGACTTGAGTTGGCATATTCTTCTCTTCACAACTAGGTCAAGTCGACTCAGACAATCCAGCTAGCCGGCCTAGCAATGCTCATCCCCACCGCGCCCACAATTAGTAGGGCGTGTGTCCAAACGATTGAACCCACTGTAACACTGGCTGCACATGAATCCCTATCGTCGTCGGTGCCGCCTGTGCGCGTTCTAAGTTAAACAGTGTACGATGGCGCCCACAGCACACGTGAATGATCCCGCTACATGTATGTAGTCAGGTACATTCATGTTTTGCAACTTGTTATGATGGCAGTGTCACGTTTAAATACAAGGCACTGCACTGTACTATGCCCTGTGGCTCCCTTCATGCCCGGATATACTAGTACTAGTGCGGCATTGAAGTAAGTTACCCACATCATTGCCTCAGGATACAACTATCACACATGCACACAGCGTCAGCCTGTAAAGACGTCACTGCTCTTCAGATCTACTGTACTCTGACTACAGGGCAGGTAGAAGTTTAATAGTCTGGTCTAACCCTGACTCACTGCCACAGCCTGGATTTTAGTCATCCAGTGTATGTGCGACACTGATTGGCTAATTAAAATAACCAATCAGTGTACTTGTAGCACATACATAATGTCATGCAGACCAGAAACCAATCAAGTCCTCTTGCTAATCAGTAGCTCTAAGTCTAGACTAAGGGCAATGCCAAGCAGCCCAGTCGTATGCCCGTACTCCATCATTAAAACCCGAGTACTGGTAATCAGTATTAGACTGTGCATTTCACTATGGATAGGGAAAGACTGGAGGCACTAGAAATATTCATGGTAGCTTAGAGTATGAAAATATTCTAAAAGGACTGGGGCACTGCTGACCTCTACCTAGAGCCAGTAGAAGGGAGTGCTAGGGAATGCAGCCTGCTAGCATGCAGGCAACCACACGGATTTATTATCATTATTGTTCTGCGTGTGAAACACTTTGCACTGCTCCAGACAATGCCCTGCCATGCCCTGGCAACCACTGGTCTGGTTGTTCACAGTTTCAAACGCTGCCACTGGCCCTGTAGTACGCTAGAATGCCCTACTGGCAGTACACAGCCTCTCTAAACTGCGGCCCAGGGGCAAGACAAACAACAGCCAGAACAGGGGTGACTGAGACGGAGTGAGAGCAGCCACTCAGAGTACTGCTAAATATACCCAGTCCAGACAGGGACGCTTCCACTTGAGCCTAGCCTGCCCTCTAACCCTAAAACAAAATGACTCCAGGACACACTCTACACGCCACGGACCAGGTCAGGCACTACTACACACTCACTGAGCTGAGTCAGTTTTACAGCAGAAGGAGATGCATGCATTGGGTCGGGTGCGTTCCGCACTTCTTTGAAACAACTGTCCTGGTGCAATGTATTGACAAAACCACGAGGCACTACACCTGCCAACCGAAAAGCCTAAACGCCCGCTCTCGGCACCGTCAATCGGAATCCATTGTTCCACAGTACTCTACCAATACTAGTCTACACCCCTAATTCATCATTGTCATTACTGCGGGGACATTGTGAACTATCTATCTCTGAACTTCCCGACTCCCGAGTCCCCGACCCGAGTGTCCTGTCAGCTTGGGATGTGATCGCAAGTCATTGTGACCTCCTCCTACGCAACTCACTGAGCAGGAGTTCTAGCCTATGTAGGTGCGCCTCGGGCTAGTACATGTAGTAGCTCGCGTAGTGTCGTGACTTGTAAATATCGACTTGGCCAATGCATACATGATCAGTGCACCAAAAATACGAGCACAACAACCAACGACAGAGCGAACTCTCTACGACTCTACTTCTGTTTGACTGCAGTCCGTACTCCATGTCAGCTGGCTATCCTCTACGCTCTAGATGCATTCCCCGCGGACACACGCCACAACACCTACCTGAGCCGCAGTCAACGCTCCTTGGCATGGATGCCACGCTCGCATCCTGTGAATCAAAAACACATGCATGCAAAAACAAACTTCGTATTGTCGGAAAATAGAAATATCCAACATGTCTGTCAAGTGTCAGTGTTGATGTTCGCAGCAAGGTGCTTCAAGAATGACACTTGTTGAATGCGAGAAATCACACATTTTTTTCGCTGAGCATGATGAGGGCGTTCTTTCCAGGCGCAAAAACTGTGTTTTGCGTGAGACCTCTTCAAGCCCGTGCAGTGTACATGTCCGTCCCAGTTATCATGGTCATGCACGGCGCGGCGACGAGGATTTGTAGGAATGCTGGCTCATGCCTACCGGACAGCTGTATAGGGAAGCGCTGTTCTAGCGTTTCACCACATACTACTACTAGTTAGTACTAGTAGACTCAGTATCATGATGGATGTAGTTTAGAAGACATCAAAACGGAGAATCAATCAAATAAAGCGCCCCTATAATATTGGCTGATGCCATTGGAAAGTTAAATCCCCGACGGCCAAACTGCCACTGCAACAGGACCATCTTTCGCCTCATTTCGCTCTGACATTCTCGACTGGAATTGCGGTTTTTCATTGATAGGCTACTGTTGCTCGTGCCAAGACAAGACTTTGCCCAGGCCCCATCTCGAAGCCGTCTGACATGTCGCTTGTTTCATGCTGCAAATCCCAGCATTGAGCTTTGGACTTCGCGATGGAGTAAACTGTAACTGGTAACTGTCTTCGCCTCTTATCCAACAACGCTCATTGACTGTAGTCTCAGGTAGAGTGCGACGCCACGCCACAAACGCAACTGATCAGTCACTGCTGAACGAGCACGGAGCAGCAGAACAATCAGCTAAAGACTCCTACCATAGAGAACCATTGTCCTGACTCAGATTCAGACCCCGGACTGCGAACTCAAACTAATCATGTACATCTACAAGTACTGTACTTGGCAATCAGCACAGATCTCACCTCTACCACACAACGTCACAACGTTATGGTTAGGAAGAGGAGCGTGGACCAGGGTGGATAGGAGGTTGTGGGCTGAGTATCACTACAAAATTATACTTGCACTTCGCCGGATATTTGCTCCCACGTCTACAGCCTTTCCAGGACCTCAGTCCTCAGTGAGTTTATGGACTGACCGAAAGACTGTAGTGTAGCTGACCTGGTCCTGCATGCAGCTGCATGACCCTGTTTTCTGCCTCCAGCTCTCCTCGCATAAGCCTTGCATACTACCGTGTGTCCCGAATGAAGCACATCTCCTCAGTGCCTTCGGGCTAGACTTGTCTAGCCAGGGGCACTTTCTAGAAGACATTACAGCATGATCCCGTCATTGCGTCCAATGCAAGTAGGTGCGGCGGAGGAGAAGAAAAAAAACATAAACATTCTCCAAGCGACTCCTTTGACTGACAATGACTGTACCGGACTTCGCTGTAGTGTAGTGTAGTGTAGCTTCCCACCATGTACCACCAGTTTTTAATCGCCACAGCGATTGTGTAGACTGTCGTGTCGAGTCAAAGGATGACCGACACAGTCTTGGCAACTGGCTTCAGCTGGAACTGATTGTCCACTACTAGTACGTCGTTGTCCACTCTACAGGGTGCGGAGGTGGAATGAGGACTGCCAATACTCAGATACTAGGCACTACCTCCACACTCCTTAGCTAAATCATTAGAATTCCTCTGCGGTGAACCAGGTGAACAGTAACCTGGTAACTGAATGCATCTAAAGTGTGCGCCGGTACTGGACACGCGATTGGTGCAAGTAGCAAACGTAGCAGTAGCATCGTGGCTCTAACTCTAAAGACTACAATGTAGTAAAGAAGTAGCAGTTAGTTAGAAAGGGAAGAACTTTGTAGTGCCACTACTAGTGGTGGGTCCAAAACTCTAAACTACAGACAGATCTGATCAGCACAAGCAAGACTAAAGCGGTGCTAGGCGGAGTGCCTGTTCTGGCATCTGAGGAACTCCGAGAGTGTTGTGTTTCTTCCACAGTACCAAGCAGTAAGCACTCATGATGGGATTGGTAGATGAAACAGTCACTGAAGGTCGCCGGTGTGCTTGTGTTTTCTTTTCAGAGACTAACAATGATGGAATTGAACTGCAGTACATGTACATGTACTGCAAGTACTGCAAGTACTGCAGTTACATACATACATGTATAAACGAATTATTTACACAATGCGTGTAATTCAACATGTCAACCAGTCCACCATGAACTCCATTAGAAAGATATTCCTACAGCTACAGCACAATTGTATTGCTGCTTACCTGACCATGGGAGTCAGCCGGACTGTCGTCTTTGGTGCAGACACTTTTGTTTTCTTGTGCCTCGGTGTCATGAATCATTGGTGAACCAATGAGCACGGGTTGTGATGCTGGCACTGAGGGCATAGTATCATATGGCGACGTTAGAATGGTGGATGTTGCCTGGGAGGGGTAGCCTTGCGAGTACATGGCACCTTCGGACGAGGTGCCGGGTTGGTGTTGCTGGTGCTGGTCACTGGTGAGGCCGTTCTCTTCTCCGTTCTGATAGAGTCTGCTGGCGCTGTGTGGCGGGGACGGTGTAGGCATTTGCACTGGCGGACCGGCCGCAGCGTTCATGGCAATGGCCGCTTGGTGTGGCAATGGATAGGGTTGGAACCTCCATCTCCGATAATGCGGCTGGGTCTGGGGCTGGTGTTGATGATGATGCTGGTGGCTGTGCATAGCACCCGCTGTGTGGTCAGTAGCAATAGCAGTTGTAGCCATCACCGGCGCTGCAGATGGGTCGAACATCAGGAAATCGTCGCCTGCCGGTTGTACGGTACTCACTAGCCCAAGGCCGTGAAATCTACTCACCGCCACTAGCACTGCTCGCAGTTCTCTCTTTCTCTCAAGACAACACGGCCGGCATAGGTAACTCGATGCAGAATGACTTCAGCACTACGCAGTGGAGTGGAGTGTGCAGTTGGTGACGTGGTGACGCTGTAGGAAATGACCGAAGGGCAAGTTCGCAGTACCCGGGAGCTGTTGGGACGGGGGCCGAGCTCTATTCGACAGCTCCAAGCGAGAAGAGTCGTCAAACGCCGGATTCTGAAAGGGTAGAGAAGTGAGAGCAGAAAGTGATGGGTAAGCTGAGATATAGCCGCCAGCTCACCTTCTCAGCTGGTCATGCGCGGTGTGGCCAGTGGCGATAGCTACGCCTACTTTCACTGCCACTGCCACCAGTATTTGCTAGCCCTGGTTCGTATAGTCTCCATGCATACCACTTACCAGTCGTGATGTATCGGGGGCTACAGCAAGCTTCGAATCTGATTGATCTGGCATGGCAGCCTGCATCATGTATTATACTAGTAGATAGACCCTCTGCCATACGTTTTACGTGCACAACCAATCAATCTATCGGCGCTGGATTTTGCCGGTAAGTCCAAGCAAGAGTACGTGTGAGTACGGGGTTATGCACTTATGTACATGTATTCTTGGTCCAAGTATTACTAAAATAATCAAATCGTACGAGTCACGTGAAAGGAGAGTACGATTTCAATTTGTAGGAACAATAGTACAATGTAGGGTCTACATGTACCTCCTCTGGCAGAAAAAGGAACATAATGTATGTACATGTACATATATATTATATACCCTTACACAATACTTACCTGGTATTGCTCCATATCATTATGATAATACACACGAGTACTTGAAATAGAGGTTGCATAGTGCATGTCGTGAATTGCATGTAGAGACGGGAATTTAAAACTACATTGCTATAACTCGAGGCCGAGTCTTCCGCATCCGTAGGAACGCCACCACCCGTCAAGGATCAAGGTGCAGATGCAGCTCCTAAAGCGATGGGAGGTGGTTAGATCAGACCCAACAAAGTGGTCAACGACGGAAAAATCCTCCCGCTTCCAAGCAGGACTTGAACCTGGTACCCTCTGTTTCTCAATCATGGTCTTAGACCATCCCACTATGCCTGCTTGCCTCTAGTGTCTACTGCCGGGAATAGTATAGGTCAATCAGACTTTGCGAAAAAGTGACCCACTTTCGCCTAAAAGTATAACATATTCTCCTTTTTTGCGCCGAAGCCTTAGCAACTGCTGAGAAAGCAGAAAGAGATCTTGTGTTGTCATTATTCCGGGGCCGCTGTTTACAATGCCTCCTCCTTCACGGCTTCAGCATCGGACCTACATGTAGATTTAGCCGTATTCAACACCAGAGAGAGGTAGTAGTGCTAGTAGAGAAGAGCAGCAGCTGCTGTGGAAGTTTACTAGTACTAGTACAGATAATATCTGCACAACATATTATGTTGTGCGACATTCACCATACACTTGGTTGGTTGGTATTATTTTTTATTTTACTTCGCCAGATTGAACAGGCATTGCTGCCTTCTTGCCTGGACAAGTGGATTTCCAAGCTCTCACAAAATGACGAGGAAGGGAAAGAAATAGTACATCGTAGCATGGTTATGACCATGATGCATCGCACGGCTCGAACCGATGGCGGTGAAGTACTAATAATGGAAAAGTCGAAGTTAATTTCACGTCCGTCGGCCACGGGGGAATAGGCGTTGAGACGTTTCTCGTCTGACACCAGGCTGACTTGTGTCGCTGACACACTGAATGTGGCCAGTAGCGACAGCTTCGCCAGATCAGAGTGAGTAAACACGTGGTGACATTGGGGGGTGAAGGTCGACGCGGACAGCACTGGCAGTGCAGCAAAGACCGAGGCCGGGCCTTTCAGAACACACACCATAGACATATGCTGCATGGCTGGGTCGCTTGGCTGGTTGGCATGTGCTGCGCACCCAGACTGTATGCTAGTATTAGTATGAATAGTGGCGGTCGTAGCCGAAAGACCACCTCGTCGTCGATCTGAGGCTGTGAAAGATGCACCTTACTCATATCCGTCTGTTGCCGGTACGCGGTATGGTGAGACTACTCGCACCTGTTCCAGTGTTGGAGCTCTAGGACGTATGCCCGTCGTTGTTTGGCATGTTCGCATGTGACAACCGGCCATCTTCTAGGACTCGGACTCAGCCATGGAGTATACTGCGCAATATCATGACATTCTAGTACTGTATCATAGGGCAATGGAATCATATCCACTGCAGAAGAATTAGCCCATGATCATTTCCATGTCGTCGACACTGGACGCATGTCATTCAATATCTATGCATCGTATCGTCGCTGTTAGTCCTCACGGGGAGGTCCGGGCATACAGATATTGATCTTGACGGTACTACTACTAGTAGCCAGTGCGTGCATGCGTGCCATGTTCCAGGTACAGATTTAGTAAGATCACCAGATCACTGCGGTCAGACTTTCTTCAAAGGACAGTCGCAGTCAAAGTTTACAGATTACGCACTGCCTTCAGTTTAAACGGCCTTTAGGCAGTGAGTTGAGTTGTGCATGCGCACGCCATCCAACCACTACCAGCATCCGGTGAAATCCTGACTAAAACACCTGCACTGTTCAGCCGCCAGAGTCCGTTCTAGAAATTGTTTATGCATAGCTGTGTTGGAATTCCTCATCCGGGACTAGTCAGTGGCGCTGTTGACTGTTGTCTCGTGATGCCTCCAGACACAACTTCACCCCGTGAATGACAGTGTTGGCCCAGGCGTACGGCCCACAGGTCAGATTTTTTCAAACATATCCGATCGATTGGTGTCGCTGGGACATCATATTTGTGCTTGCATGCGAAATGGCCTGCAATCCCTAGCTATTCGCACTGCGCTCCACAGTCTAGCTAGATTTGCATAAGAACCCATACTGTTGAAAGGGATGGCAGAAATTATACAGCCAGGCCCATAGGCTGAGAGTTCGCTTCACAAAGACTGGACACCTGATGGTCTGTCCTGTGATAATCGACGGTCGACTATTAAATGGCTGAACGGAGCGATAATACAGCTGTGAAAACTTGTTCCGCCACTGAAGGGCCATACGCACTTAACCGTCGCTGAAAAGATCAGGCTGCACCTTCTGGCTCCAACGCTTGGATCAGCCTCGCTCCTAAATGGTATTCTCTCCCCTACAGGATGAAGCCTGAAACTTAGCTCTGCGCCCGGGGTACAAGGATACACACGTTGCAGTGTAAGTGAGGATAGCATTTACAAGTATCCGCCACCAATTTCCAGACTCCTTAACATAATTTCGACAGCGGTGTTGAACCCCAATCCATCCACGAGATAACCTATTTTAATCCCAGAACTCTGAATGTTTGACGCTCAGGACATTTCAGTGATAAAACCGTCTTGTACGTGTACAATCGTAAACGTCAATGTGCACGTACATGACAATTACATGTACATTTAAAACTATCAAGCAAGGCTTGCATATACCATGTACATTGATGCAGTATACCAAGTCGCACCGACAGGGTGGAAGGTAATGCTCATTTACTTGGTAACACGCACACATACACACACACACACACACACAGACGCACAGAGCGTGCAATACGGCTTGCGTCTGCACAGAAGTGTGACATAGAGATCGTGATTGACATGAAGCACATGGTTGGATACCTTGGTTGTTGTGATCTTGTTACAATGTACCCATATCCCTTCCTCTCCTCTGTTTCTGACTGTCTCTCTCTCTCCCTCTCTCTCCTCTGTTTCTGACTCACTGTCTATCTCTCTCTCTCTCTCCTCTGTTTCTGACTGTCTATCTCTCTCTCCCTCTCCTCTGTTTCTGACTGTCTCTCTCTCTCCCACTCCTCTGTTTCTGACCGTCTCTTTCTCCTCTCCCCCCCCCCTCTCTCTCTCTCTCTCTCTCTCTCACACACACACACAAACACCCACACACAAACACACACACACACACACACCAAGTACACAGAACAGTATTATGGCGATACACCTATTAAACACAGTGAAACATGATCGGTACTTCATATCCGAGGTACTCTAACTATCCGAGGTACTCTAACTATCCGAGGTACTCTAACTATCCGAGGTACTCTAACTATTCGAGGTATTCTAACTATCCGAGGTACTCTATATCCGTGACGAGGCGATTGAAAAGACCATGCAAGGTCTTCCAAAGTAGTTTGTTAAACAATGGAGAAAAGAATGCTTTACTCAGGCTTCTAGAGGCGTCTATGCATGTGACAGTGTTGAGGTTTCCCTTCACTGGACTACTCATGGAGTACGTGACCTGGTCCATGCACGCGTGGGTCTGAGCACAACTAGTACTTGAACTACAGGACAAACAGGTAAAGATTATGTCACTGTGTGCAAGATCCACGAAGCCTTGCTGCACATATATTACCCATAATAAGTCATTTATCCTCGTCCTGGAGTTTTCTTTGAGAAGTTCGAGACTAACTCTTAGATCACTGCCCCTGCCTGTGTCCAGGACCACAGCTCTCGCCCACACTGTGTTAGATGGTAGATTTGCCCCGCGTGCATCCCGGTCACGAGTGGAACAAGGTTTGAAGAAACTGAAGCCGACTGATTTCAAGCCAGTGATTTGTCTTGGCTGGAGTCCTTGCAACAGTAAAGGGGTGGCGTCAGAGTTCAGAAGAGATCTACTGGACTGGGGGGGGGGGGGGGCTGTTGCCACAATTTTCTCTCTTTTTCGATCACTGGGATGATATAGCTGATTGTTGGCCGGACTGCTGATTCAAGCGTACTTCGTTTGTGTCCAGTATTCATAGTGCTCCCTGTAACAAGGGGGAAAACGTGTGTACATGTAGGGTTTCACTATCAAAACCATTACTAGTATCTACTACTTTGTCCTTTGCTCTCCATGAGCTAGATGGTACGTAGAACGCTGCCTGTGGGGCAGAAAGAAGGCGCCTGAGGACCAGCACACCGGTAGGGCTGCCACAAAGCAATCTACCTAGCAAAAGAGTCTCCTACTCTGTACCCCCTCTTCTGGACGAGCTAACATGAAGTACATGTATTCGATGTCTCCCTCGTTCAGGAACAGAAGCTTCCGCTCAATAACTTTGCGCGGGGCGCTGTCAATAAAGCCACCATGACTACCTTGATGGTGACGGCAAGCCATGGCCCGAAACCCTTTCTTTCCCAAAGGCTATGTCCAGACGAGGTAGGCTTGGACCGGGCAATCCATGAGTCGAATAAACAACTCTTACGATGATTATCTGTGTGTGTGTGTGTGTGTGTGTGTGTGTGTGTGTGTGTGTGTGTGTGTGTGTGTGTGTGTGTGTGTGTGTGTGTGTGTGTGTGTGTGTGTGTGTGTTACTCTCAGCATCGTCGCTGTGTTTGGATTCCAGTCTGTCAAAGCTGAACTAGCCATACACAAGCTGAACTAGCCATACACGTAGTAGTGGGGAGCCGCCCTTGGCCCACCAAGTGACCCTAGTTGGTTGCCAATCGTGGAATTATCCCTAGACTCAGTGTGATGAGCACAAGAACACAAGTACAATGTACAATGTACAATGTAGTTGTCGGAAAGGCAACCTGTCAAGTGAGTGTACTGGTATCAGCACACTTCTTTGGTTTTAGATCTACTCCTTCCAGGACCCATCCGTCCCGGACGGTGAATCCGCAACCCAAGCTCAACGTCTGCTTGTTTGGTTGCCTGTTTGGTTCACCCGGACACGTTTAGGACTTCCACCAATACGTACAATGGCTGACGATTGGCTGACGATTGGTTTTAGACCTTTCAGAAGGGTTCCGTGGAGTTCATTGCCGTATTTTCCTCGTTGTGATGGTGAAAGCTGACTGGCACCCCCCCCCCCCCCCCCCCCCCCCCCCAGTCAGCTCTCAACTCTCACGGTCACTGGCTGTGGTCGTAGCCTGCGATTTGTCGCTTAGCACAAAGAACAGGCGCTGGCAAGTCATTGGAAACACTCCAAAGAACACGTCTACATCATGTACTTCCTGCTTCCCTGCGTGCTACACGTTCAATGTTGCGTTCTAGTAGTAACGTTACAGTCAGTCATGTACTGCTACTACTGGTCTATTGGTAGGGAAAGTGTTGAGGCCAGTAATAATTATGTGATCAACTGGCACGACGCATAAAAGCATCAAGGTGAAAATCTAGACGAGGGCAAGTGACGTCCTAGACGCGAGTGGAGACGGAATGCGTACATGCGTGTCCAGGATCGTCCGATGACCATGATGACTGCTGATGTTGGCCGCAGCTCTACTAAATATAGGTTTTACATTGACACATCCTATGGTAAGTATGGAGGCAGACCGTTGGAGGGCTCACCCCACTGGAGGGAATGAAACCCACAAAGATCATGGCTCAGCACAAACTGCGGTGACATAGCGAACACTAGTCGATCCCCTGGGATTCAGCCGGGGCAGTGACCTCACCAGAGAGTGAATTTCTAGGTGAACAGGTGGCCAATGCTGTTGATATTGTTTACAACACAGTCAGTGTCCCGGTAACCAATACCTACATGTACAACAAAATGTATGAACGAACGACTGTACATAATGTGACTTGTTGTCCGCACATGATGCATGCGCTCCCTCACGAAGTGCACGGAAAGAAATTCAGCCAAACAACGCGGAACAAATCTCAGTCTTATATTCGAGCATAACCAGAGTCAGTCTGAGTGTCCCGATGCAGTCATGGGTGATGACCCTGGTATGGCAGTCATGCAGCAAGGCTAGCGACCACACACCTCAGAAACCATGCTGGTCTATCTGTCCTATCACGACACAATCCAATGGTAATGGCGCATCTACATGACTGTTTGTACAATGTCATGTAGTTTACTATGAAGCAGAGACCTCAGGTCGGCCGAGAACATTTTGCTCTCACTGCTAACAATATTGAAGCAGATATCTCATGGCCATTTGCAGAATAAAACACACAAGTCACCAGTCATTCGCGAGTCGGCCAGTAGCTATCAGTAGTAGTGTCGATGCTCGCGGTTTTAACTTTGTCCTTGCCCAGCCAAGCGACCATGACCGCGCGAAGTCCACATCCTGTGTGACACAATTCCTTAGTTGCGTTCACAAGCATGGGCATGATGTGAAAAAGTCCACTTCACACGTTCAGCAAGCGTATCGTTACGCGAGTTAGCACCCTGCAAAAGACCACGTTTCTTCATCCAATGCTACACTCCAAATGGCAAATACCTACAAGGACGCGGGTGTGACAAAACTAATACTCGGTACAGTCATGCTGGATTAATTTTAAAGAAGACCTTTTCATGGCCTTCTCGCCTCGCGTTCCCACTCTCTTCTTCCCCTCCTGCATGGTTTACAAGAAAAGAAAAAAAAGAAAATTTTCAGTTGCAAGCCTGCGCTTCCGCCGGTTAAACGACGGTGCGGGTTGGGTTTGACGGAGGTTTCGTTGGAGGCAATCGAAGACTGGCATACAAGGAGAGTGCGGCTATGACATGGCCTCCAGAGCAAGATACTTCTCTGACTCGACGATGTACATGTATCATTCAATTTTTATCCACAGAGTCGACTTTGAAGGATTGCAGCTCAGGTTTCAACCTGTTCCAGGATTGAACTCGATAAGGTGTCACGAAGAGAGCTGCGAGACATACAGTTCGTACCTTAGCGCTTTGTCAAGAGCCTCCAGTAAAGAGCCAATAGCAGCCCGTGACAACACCGTACACGTACCACAGACTACACTCCGCATCCTATTGCACGCCAAGGTATAAGGTGACACTTTCCAACTTACCTCGGGGTTCAAGGAAAGTCTGGTAGGTCTTCAAGCTGTAGTAGTACCACACGTCGGAGACGGGCGAGCAGTGAGTACTGCAGCAGGCACGCGGCAGTGTGCTGAATACACACCAGGCACAATAATTATAATAATCTGAGTGCACTTGGGGACTTGTTGACCTTGGACGTCCGCAGCAGAGATACAGATAGATTCTTTTCAGATGTTTTCGGTCTCTCAGACAAATATCTTGTTCTTAGACACCTTGCAAAGAGGTTGGAAATCTGAAAAGCGGTCGAATAGTTTTCGCCGTTTGGTCTATGGGCAGACGTGTTTGAGCACCGTGCAAATAGCAACCTTTCAACAGACTGGTTGTTTTGAGAAATGGCGAAATATTCTAATGTGGTGGCTAAGTGGCGAAATACGAGAGGGAGATTGGAACACGTCGACGGGTGATGGGTGTCGAGGACCAGGACCATGCGGCAACCGACCCAAAGGTAGGTGATGTTGTGTCGTTTCCTCTACCCAACACTATGTCTATGGTGGTCATCATTCGTCTGGAAGATACGCTCCGACGGGAATATCCACTGCTGACTATTAGTATTAGCAACTCTTGCCTTTACTGCCTACAAGCCGATCTCTATCTGTATGCGCGAAATGGCAACGTCAGTCACGTGCCGGTGAGGCTTACATACGGGAACTTGGCGTAGCTCCGCTCTGCAGCCAATGGAGTACGTCGCGGTATTGGCAAGCCGGCAAAATCCGCGTGCAGAATATGCCTGAGCACAAGGTTCTTTCTCTGATTCGCGAAAACAGATCATGGTGGTCAACCCTGGAAAACAGCGTTTTTAACTTTTCAGAAACGATCATCGCTTTGTGTGGGCCTATGCCAGAAACACTTTGGTGAGGGGACATAGTGCGCCGCACTACACACTTGTACTTGCGTTCACCTGGCGATACTTACGCCCTTTACGTCACAGAGAACAATGATTGCAGTCATGTATGGCCAGATCTGCAGAGAGGTATTCCACACCGTAACGAATGTATCAACTCTTATCTCGGCACTCCTGAATAGCCGGGTGGATGGAAACTGTGGGAGGTTACTCAGGCAGATTCTCTATTCTCTATTGTTTTGGGTTTTAGTTGCATTTTCTATTCATTGATCAAGATGGTATGTTTGCCCGTACAAGAGGCTTGCTTAGAAAAACAGAAAAAATCTCTATCCTAGGCAGTACAATGTCATGCACCGGTAATACAGTACATTGTAATATATTGCGTAGCATAGAGCATCTGCCCACCATATTCTGCAAAACCTGTACAAGTTGGAGATGCTCTGGGTCTAAGAAACCTTTAAAAAATGTCAAAACAGGCCGAAGTGAGCATGGCTAAGCTAAGCCGACGAAGTCCACTGCAGCTGCGACGTGTTTGTTTCAGCTCCACTGCAGCCAGCAACATGATCACCTCCGCCCGATACATGCCGAGATCTTCTCAAAGGAAGAACAGGATAGGTATAACTACTGGAGATAGTTACCTTGGGTTTGCGTGTAGGTATGGAGGGGGAAAATGTCGCGTCGACTTGCAGCAACATGGAAGTTTCGTGGGCACCTTGTGCGCTGGTGCGCCACAAACAAGTGATTTCCAGTCCAGGAGATGTTAGGTGGTGGCATTCTTTCTCTAGACGCCATATCGTGTTGCCGCTACTGCTCGTGGCGGAAAGAGGAACTGCTGACATTTTCTTCAAGTAACAACAGTTAGTTTGCATCCATGACGATGACACAATTGGAGCAATTAGTGTTATGTAGTTGCTCCGTGTACTGTGTAGTGCTGAACGGGTTCAGGGGATATAATTATGTTACATGGAAATCTTGCTGATTGTTTTCTGGAGCCCAATACTCCCATGAATGGACGACACTCCCATGGGTGTGGGATGATTCATCATTTATACTTCGAAGTAGCCTAGTATCCGCGACACGCATCTAAAGTAATTGGTACGAAGCCAGATCATCCAAGAAGTCTAATATTAGACACTATGGTCTGCAGCGGCCCTCGTCGCTAATCTAGTTCGACCTCTCAATCTTGGTGGAAAGGAGCGAACCTTCCTCGGGACACCTTTTCAGAACAAACTGGATCGCTCACACGTGTACACGTACACGCAAACGTCCGGCTCCTCCGGCTCCTTCACTTCAACATCATTCAGATTCTTCAGACCGAATGACCACGCTACAAACCTCTCCCTGGAATTTTCAGTCCCTGGATCGGCAAGAGTTCATGGTTCACGCGTCATGATTGGTTGTACTCTTGCTGAAGCCAATCAGTAGCTTAAAAACACACTTTTCCCGAAGCACCCCTACCGTTCTCGACATGTATATCTGCATGGCTTGTGGCTTAGATGTAGGGACAAGCTGGAATTTGGACGGATTCTAAATTTTCTTGTCACGCGGATACGTTGCCCACAAGTAGTTTAAATTCGACGATAACGAACATCTCCGTGCCCGTTACGTGTTCATAGAATTGCTTTTAACTGGCCCGCAAGGTTTCGAGCACACAGAGATGTAGGCAGAAGGAGGATAGGTCAGCAGTAATACCGTGCCAAATGTTCTATCGTCTGCATGATCGTACACACAGGCAACAACCGACCGTAACCCCTTGCCCTTCGGGCACTTTGCTGTCCTTGCAGCTACTCCCATTGGTTACCGAGTGTATTGCAGCGCACAAACTGTCCACCGCACAAATCATTCTTTCGGCTGCGTCGTAGATCTGCTGCATCTTTGTTTCTCGATTGAAACGTACAGCTACGACGGTGTCGAAATACAATCACAGTTGGTGTAAGTAGGTGCCTAGTGGGTACATCTGTGTGCATGTTACAATCTTACAAGTCATACTACCGATTAACGCCTGCCTGCCGCTCAGAAGAACGCCTGCGGAGACATTAGAGTCGATGCAACTCGAACCTCTTTTGTTGCCCTTCTAGTAGCATCAGAGTGCAGTGAGAAACAGCTATCTACTTGTCGACACGCGAGTCCACCCGTTACGCCATTCAATGCTTGGCTAGGTCCAGACCAGAGCTAGCTGTGCCAGGGACAACGGAGCAGCTGTTGGATATGTCTGCAGGTAGACGCTCACCACCCTGTGGCGCAATGTCTGCGTGTAATGACTAGTAATGTGATAGGTTTTCTGGATGGAGTCTGCCCACCGTCCAGTCAGGTTCAGTCAGGTATGCCGCCTTGCAGGCATGCGCCTGTGTTAGCTGCACTGGACGGTACCGTGTCCCCGTAACGTTCGACATGAAAACAATCATCTCCAACATAATCACAATGCCATTGCCCGGGATGTACCAAATACCTTGCCGCGTTTAGCTCACTCCAGTAGGTGATGAAACCATGGTTTCCGAGGCGACCTTGCTGCTTCAAAAAGGCACAGTCTCGTTGGAATTGGGCGACTCTCAGACACAGACGAATGCAGCTAGCTAGCTTCCTTATCGTCTCTCCAGTGACAGTAAGCTGGGGACATATGAACGCAGCTGCCACTGTGTTCAGATGCAAGGCAGGAATTAAAAGGCCAACGAGCCCACACATGTCAAAATTGTCGCCTTATCAAGAACTTCTGGCATGGCTATTTTTCATTGCAAGCATGTTACATGTGTGATGGCGTTATCGATGACATTAGCATTGCGAAGAGTGTGAAGCGATATCGCTCTCGTTCCTCCATGCATGTATTCGACGTGAAACATTTGACCCAATAGCACTCGTTGTAGTAGGAAAGGATAGAAGACTCTCATTGGATTGGTGGCTGACCTGCACCGTCATGATTTCCATGAAGGTGTATGACTGTGTTTCCTTTGGTTTTGTATATATTTGATAGCTTCCTATCACCGTGATAGAACATTGCTATATCGTGAATATGATCCATACAACCTACATATGACTGCAGTGAAATAATTATACAATGTAGACAACAAAAAGGCACAAGCAACAGGGCTATGGCCAGAAGACCCCCAGCAACTGACAGACACGCCGCACCGGTCACCAGATCACACCACCTAGCACCCATGGCCAGCACTTGCGGCCTTGACCTCTCTTGTAGTAAGTAGCTTTTTTTGTTTTTTTGTTTTACTACACAGTTGCAGATGTACTACAACTACATGTAGCATTGAAATAATTCCACTACCAACTATTTGCTCGCACGATAGACCCAGCTTTCATCGTCAATACCTTGCAACTGCAATCGCGCAAGGCAACCAGTCAATCAGGTACCAATCGTTGGCGCACGCTCAGTCAAACGCGACTGCAGGGGGCAAAAATACCGCATTTCTCGAACGTTCGACTTCCTGTAGCTCAACGGCTGACCCAGGTTGGTTGACATGCCCACCAGGACTTGAGTGTGAAGCGCCGCGCCCTGGTGCAATCTGAACGTGCCCTTTGCACCTCCGGGATTTCTGGCTGACCCTGAGGGGATGGTGGAACCATGATGGGCATTCTCACGCCGGGCGGCTGCTGTGCTGTTCAACAATTACTTCAAGGTCGGATACCTTCAGAATTTTTTGTTCTTTCGCCCAGCTCTCACGCGTCTTCACCGGTGTGAGCGGTCTCTCCTGGCCACGTTGTGCTGTAGTGCCTGTAGCGAACCTGCGAGGGTCGGTGCGTTTGTCACTGGTTGCAAGAGATACATGGATCATGGACCGACGACTCCAGGTACCTCCACTATTCGTCACACTAATTAACAGTATCGTGCTTCTGCTAGTTCTGGATAACATTAGCAGCACAGCACAGCGGACTGGAAGGAGGGTGATGGGTTGACTCGTAAAAGCCCCTTCGTTTGTTCAGTTCAGCTCGGGAGCGACAAAGAGGAAGATTGACAGGACAATACGGCAGGCGGTAAGCACTTCTTTGCTGGTAGGGTGAAAGTAACGGGCCTGCTATTTTCGTCAAAAATTCCCCTTTGCTCCAGATAATTATAACAAGCCGATGGCCGCTCTGACGTAGATAGCTAGCTTTGATGTGTCTACAATACATGTATGAGTCCTACACTGGAGAATGCGGCAGCAGCATGGCCATTGGTGAGTAGGTTATCGCTGCACGTGACCTGAGTCCTTTTGAAGAGACCGTTTTGACGATACTTGCTAGGAGCAGAATCTACGACACATATGCCAGAGGCAATGAACTGCCCTGGCCCTGCACTCTTGCCATTGATGATAAGGCTGGCTTCTAGCCCTTGTAGAATGCACAAAAAAAAGCATTAGCCCCGTCCCTCACACAAGCAAGTCAACAAAGAGGATGGTGGGAAAAGAAACACTGCTGAAGCACGATCTGTTGTCTGGAAGAACACCACAGGGTCGAGCAAGATTTGTTTTTCTTTTCAGCAAAACGGGCTCGATGCCATTTGTGATTCTGCAGCAAAACAAAGCGCGTGACGTCAGCCTTGAATGTAGTACAAAGCAATGCGGAGCAGCGTGTGCGCTAGTTCAGATTGTTGCTAACGAGTACTAACACAGCGAGTACCCCAAAAAGACCAAGCTTCTGAAACCATGCCTATGCCAGCCTGTGTTGTCCGAACTACTGTGCTCCTCCAAACACGCACAGGATGAATGTCACGTGGAAAACTGACATCTTTCTCTAATAGTGCTGCGCCTCAATATTCGGTACATCTTTCATCTGCATGTAGAACTGTGCAATCATACAATACAGTGCGGGTGTCATTGCCCAGGGTACTTTTCAATTCTCCTCTGTCGTGTTAAACTTGAACAGGTGATAGTGCCCTCTCAAGGATGTTGTAAATGCCCCATTCCCGTACTGGCACATCCCAGAGAACATAGACGCTAGCATGTGCATTTGCATCCTAGCATTATCTATCCATAGAAGCCACACTGAAACTACACGACGATGGGGAAATCCTGAAATATTCACACGTTGCAAACAAGATTTGATGATCAACAGCCTCACAAACATTGCTAGCCTGTTCTATTCTGCGTGCTGGTGGTGTTTTCTTCAAGGCCCCCGCGCATTGGTGACTGGGATCTTTTGGATCGCGGAGTATACTGTAAACAGCCTAATGTTTGCAATGTATTAATGTTTGCTAATTTTGCGAGAAGAGCACAACGCAAATATTAAACATCATGAAATCAAACTTCAGCAGTGGGTGTATATGTGTGGCCACGGTGCTCCGCGAACATTTGCCATCATAAACTCTCTGGTTCTGAGAGAGCGCAACAATTTAGTGACGCAAACATTGGGCGGTTTACAGTAGTCGTGTAGTTCTTCCGCAGTGCACTCCACTTCACGTGGCCTGCACTGCATGAAGCGGCATGTTGCGACGAAAACACACTAGTAATGCTAGCATGTCACCCAGGTAAGCCAGGAAAATTGCGATTGGACGACAAGTCCAGGCATTCCAATTGCAAACACGGACGCCGACACAGCAGCCCATGCACAGGGGCGCCGGACATGGTACGGTCACTGCGGTACTGACTGTACCACTACTTGCCCCAGGTACCCCGGGTGCCCCGGCAATCAATCAAAACCAATGATTTTGGCTCTAAACTTCGAACTTTTCAGCGGAGTCACTCCTCCCAACAAGTAAATTGTCCCTCGGGTCACGGGTTGACTATACCACGCTATAAAACTACCTTTCGACGCCCCTGATACGTGTACGTGTAACAACAGTGCTGCTGTTGCTGTTATTATATACACATTTAGTTACCTTGCTTGTCAGGCCATGCATGGGTCTGTGAAGATGGCGTACCCATCTTTGTGACTATTCGGCAACATTTAACCGATTACGTGACTGCTGTGCAGGACCCTCTAAATTCTAATGATGCTTGGTACCTGATGGATTTAGACCGTCCACGAGCTGAAGTTTCCAAGCACTCCCATTCAGTGAAGTTTCCAAGCACTCCCCGGATTCAGTTTCCAAGCACTCCCATCATTCAGTTGTTGCTGAAGGTTCCAAGCACTCCCCGGATTCAGTTTCCAAGCACTCCCATCATTCAGTTTTTGCTGAAGTTTCCAAGCACTCCCCGGATTCAGTTTCCAAGCACTCCCATTCAGTGAAGTTTCCAAGCACTCCCCGGATTCAGTTTCCAAGCACTCCCAGTTTCCAAGCACTCCCAGTTTCCAAGCACTCCCAGTTTCCAAGCACTCCCAGTTTCCAAGCACTCCCAGTTTCCAAGCACTCCCCGGATTCAGTTTTTGCTGAAAAGCTTGCCGGTCTAGTTAGACCTGAGTGGATCATTGCTCAGTGATCATAAGGGGAGGGGGAGGGGGGTAAGAGTATCAACATACCAGTATACCCTGTAGTGTTATAGGGTGTAGTGTTATAGGCAGGCGCGTGCCCCGTATGGGTTCCTGGGTACCCGGAACCCCCCCCCCCTTTTTCGCTCAAAATGCAGGATTTTGCTTCATTTTTTGCAAAAAATTCCCAGGGAGGCCCCCGGAACCCCCTCTTGAAGGGCACCGGCTCACGCGCCTGATTAGGGTGTAGTGTTATAGGGTGGAGTAGTAGTATAGGGTGTAGTGGTGTAGGGTGTGTCCAGCAGGGTTAGGGGTAATGAGTGTCATTGAGTGATAATGAAACTTGAACAAGCTCCCAGTGACTTCATGGTGTTCTCTGCTGCTGCTGCTGCTGCTGCTGCTGCTGCTGCTGCTGCTGCTGCTGCTGCTGCGGCTGCAGCTGTTGCTGCTGTTGCTGTTGCTGCTGCTGCATGAAGTGAATGACAAGCAAGCACAAGCCAACCACCCGGAATACGTTATGCCTCTCGCTATATTGCAGGATGTTACTACAGTATAGCCGCAGTGGTGTGAATGTGTCCAGACGGTCGCCGTATTCAGACGGTCTTATGCTGCCTGCGGGCCACTGCCACTGACGTTGCCGAGATCATGCTGTCCACTCTTGACTGTACTGAAATAGATTATACCCCCAAAATGCGATGACAATATCTTAGTATGACACAGGCGCAAAGTGGTACTAGTAGGCATTGCCTCTGTATATTGAACCTACAGACTAACAGGACCGGGTAACAATGCTCCTGTGTGCTGAGACACAATTCAAAACCCTCGCGAGAAAGAAATTGAGGGCATTGAATTGGACTATACTAGTTTTCAATTATTCGTACACAGAACAACAAGGCACAAGGCTAGCTTGTTGCGATTGTTCGCGTACATGTACAGTAGGTATATGACATGTCAAAGAGGTGAAGTCAGCCAGTTCATTGTACCTCCTTGCACAGAATATCATACAAATAGTGGGTTACAGACAACACTACATATGCGGATGATCCGGAATACACCAGGCTATTTCCCCATAGTGCAAGGTTTGCTGATTGCCCACTTTGCTCCAGGTGATTGACATGTATTCGGGCATTTCGCGGCACTAGGACTGTGGAACTGAGCACAAAAGGACTATAAGCAACTGCACCACGGTTAGTAGTGTTGTTAATCGTGTTTTTTTTTTAGGTATTAGTAAACCAGTGAGCTTGCAGGCTACATTCCTGCAGTCAGAAAGAATCTCGCCTGATGGGTACTGGCATAGCATCATCTGGACTACTGAACAATACTTGGGTTTTTTTAACAATTTCTGTGGGGTGTACATGTACGATGAGGACAGGTATGTAGTAAGTGGGATGTGCGGTCATACAAGCTGATCAATAGTTGACTTTGCTGAATCTCTGTACAGATAGGAGTCAGAACATACCTGAAGCTTGAGTCTGGGGAGCTTGGGAGTAGAAGGTCTTATGGAGTAATGAACATGCCGGAACCTGCTGCTCATTCTACTGAGGGCCTGAAGCTGCAATGCTTTTTGTGAATTTCAAGTTGACCTCCTGTTTATGATGCAATGCTCCTCGCACGAGTGATTTTGATATTTGTACGGGTGTCAACATGCCATACGTGTTCCCTTGAACTAGTTTGTACAGGTTCAAAATGAGGATTTGTCCACCACAGGTCCAAGGTATGTCTGTATATACATGTACAATGCCAATGCACATTGCATCATAAAATTGATGTGACGGTCAATTTGAAGTTCTGTCGGGACAGGACCCATAATGGAGTTGCACACTCTTAGGGGCTATGTACTTTTGTCGTCATGGATATGTGCTCGCTTATCTGCTATGCGGATGCCGTTGGCACTTTGAAGTACAGTACATGTATTTCATCATGTAGTATGTGCTAAACTTGTCCTACACTGTGTGCGGTCAACCTATGTGCCCAGGAAACCTTTTAAAAAGTTCAAGCCGGTCCTGCCGAGAAGAAATCAATGCAGTCCGGGGTCCTGCTCTTGGACTCCGGCTGCTGCCCTGGGCTGTGTAGATCATGTGTTGGACAATGTGCGACGACCACGGTGAGCAGCAATGTCAGTGATTCATGACAACTGAGGCTTTCCTCTAGCTACGCCTGCACTGCTGCGCGGCCTGTAGCTGCTTGATGGTTAGAAGCTAAACATCAGCTCCCTCTAAAGACAGTGTCTTTTCAAAGACGCCCGACTACCTTTGCATGATGCCTGCCTGGCGGATTGCCTGACTTCCTGCCTTGCTGCAAAACACAAACTGTGACCCAGTGCAGGATCAAGGGCCCCAATGTTTTGTCGGTCATTGCTGTATGTACCCAGCTGAAGTGTGCTGCACTGGACACTGTAACTGACTAACAAATCCCACGAGGCAGCTGATTTTCCAGTTAAACACGTTATCATGCAACAAGTACTCTCTTCAAGCCTCAGTGCAAGATAGTCTCAGTGTTTGCTTTATGCTTGCAATGTTTTCCTTCTTCAGGCCTTTAGCCTGCAGTCAACTACACTTGATTGACTGGACAGAAAGCCAACTGGTTCTTTCATGCTCCATCAGTCCATGAGATCAATTTTGGCTCCGCATTCAGTCAAGGACAACAGGCAGCTTGACAACGCCACTGTACGTATATCTGCAGAGTCCTTGAACAAAGGCGGCATTCCTGCTATGCTCGGTTTATGGTGTTGATTGCAGTCAGCATGGCCTAGCTACAGTGACAAACATCTTACGGTAGGTCTCTGCCGGGGTGCCTATGGGTGGGTTTTGCTGTTCCAGTCGATTGCTCATCGGTCCGTAACTTGATCTGGCAGGCAAAGATTCCATTGACTTTTCGAGGCAACCAATGTAGGCGGAATGCAAGATACTCAGCTTAAAAGCATCCAGTTGATCAGATGGACATGTGTATACCAATGTTGATTTACAATGATATCATGGTGTGGGCATGAACAGGTGGTGCACATCAGCCACTCAGACTTGCAATTATACAGACTCAGTAGATCTGATGTCAAGCGACACTGTGTGCACTTACTAAGAACCTGCAAACACTTTTCACTCTTTAATGCCCTACTCTAGCTCATTGCATGTGTTCGCTATCGTGCAGAGTGATGCAATGCCGTTCGATAACCTTGTTCTAAGTCTGGATTTTAATTGACTGCAGCTGGATGAAAATTCCACGTCACATGTTTTAGATGAACTTTAGCAGTGCCCACCAAGAACTGTTTCATCCAATATTAATAATAATAGTTACAGTTCGCATGTCACTCATGGAAGGATCCATGGGCTTAACGCATCTGTCAACGAAATCCAGGCAGAAGAGCCGACAAAAGGCATCTCAATATTGTTAGAACGTATCGCAGTAAGAACAACTACGCAAGCGCAGCACATTTTTCCACAAGCATCAGCCATTTTTCTTGTCTAGAGCTAGTTCAAAACAGTCAGCAATATCAATATTGGCGTGCTTTAGATCATTTTTAATATTGTCAATCCATCTGAGATGGGGTCGGCCACGTGGGCGCTTGATGTCCCGGGTATTAATTGCCATCTCCAGTGCTTGGTAGGACGCTGAGTTACGTCCTTCGCGAACAACATGGCCCAGCCAGAGCAGCCGACGTCTGCGACAGGTAGTGCTGACTGGGCCTTGTCGCGTTGAGGCGTACACCTTGGCATTCGACATGTGATGATTATGACAATCATCCAATATTGCTTCATATCAATCAGCGGGTTGTCGTCATAGACGCTTCTGGTTGCATTTTGCCGTATGAGCTGCTAAGCGTCTTGGCCTTTTGCCAACCACCAAGTGACACTTCACATCGTGCTGAAGCAAAGCCTGTTGCATGTTGGCTATGTGCACTCACTGCATAGCCTGTTGCATGTTGGCTATGTGCACTCACTGCATTGCGTAACACCCAGGGTAACCCCTGCAGTCAATGCGGTGGATATTCTGTTACTGTAGTGGTATTTTCATGTTCATGCTTGTGTGTTATTCCCGCTTTGGGCAATGATTCAGCTAAACTATGTCTGCGGGGCCTTGGCTTGCGTCACTCTGTAGTCCGATGTACTGTTAATGAGCTACGGGAGATATTCTGTTTTTCAAGCTATGACGGTTTATACCGGTATTCAATTGAGAATGGTTTCCGCACAAGATCAGTACGTCATGGCATTCGGGATGGATATGGCTTTGGCTACGTCACGGCCTGTTCGTCTGCGTGAGCATGTCCCAGTGTTTCCCTGGATGCAAGTGATGTGTCCCCCTTCATACACTGTATGCTGCTAGGCTCTGACTCTGGTGCCCGGTGCTCAACTACATTGTAGTGTGGTTGTAGATGTGCGGGAGCAGCTAACCATCCGTACACGCTTGCACAGTCACTCAGTGTAGCATGATCGCTGATCTGGGCTGCCGCACTTGGGTGTATGCTGGTCATGGCTGCGTGCATGGCTGGCTTACCATTATAGTCTGGTCGGCCCGGGAGTTGCCATGATAGGGCATTATCACTCCCTTAGTATTGACTCCCATTGATTTTCGCTATACCTAAGCAGTCAAATATTCCTGCATATCAGTTTCACTCCTTGGCTATATTGACTGCTTATATTTGACTGCTTAGGGGTTGCGCAGTTGAACGGTGCCTAGTGTAGCATTGTCACTGCATGAGTAGGTGGTGGTGACGGTTGTGCAATCATAAAACCGGGATTCATGAGGACTGGACTGTTTGTCGTAATAAATCTAATATTGACTTCGTACTTGGTCAGTATAGCATACTATAGGAAATAAAAACCTCGTAAAAGACCTCGGCTTCGCCTCGGTCTTTTACTCGGCTTTTATTTCCTATACTGACCTCGTACTCAGTCAATATAAATAAGATACTTATGATGATGCGAAACTTCCAAATCCTGGTTTGAAACACGTTCCGGGTACTACCATAATACTAGAGTTACCACAAGAAGTCTCTTGTGCCTTCTTTCTACAAGTAGGTGCCTTGGCTCCCTGTAGCTGGTGCTGCCCGCAGTGTTACGGCATAGGATGAATGCGGTTGAATTGCTTGGCTACCACCACGGTTGCATGCAGGGTGGGGAGACAGGTACCGCCAGGGAGTGCAGTGCTAAAGTAAAGAAACCGGCCAGGGTACTGTACTTTTGTAGTACATCATGTACTACCATTGCCAAGAGTTCATAACCCCCAGGCCAGGGGGTTATGAACTCTAGTCTTGGTACTACAGTACTGCCCTGCTGCGATTTTTCAACGAGACGTCATTGAAACCTTGGGTTTTCGCAATGTTTCCTGGCAAATCTCTATAAATGCCTGGATCATGGAGTCGACTCAAAGTCAAAGACCATGAAGACGTCTTTGAGTTTGAGCCAGGTAGTCGTCAAAATACGACTCTGGTTGTACAGCGTACGTCCTGTGCATGTACGGTACCGTACTGTCATGAACACACAGACTCTTTGGTCATTGTGCAAAATATCTACATGCATGTTTTCAAAATTAATATCCTTTTCTTGCATGATATCGTGATGAGCGTTTGAAGCAAGTAACTTAGTTAGTTAGTTCGATTACATTGTAGACAATATGAGTAGGGAAGTAGATGACTACGCTTTAGCTCTTCGCCTGCAACAAGAAGAGTGTGATAACACACCGCAGGAAATTCACAATTCGTCGACGACGAAATCATCAAATGAATCAAAGTCAATTGTGGATGACTCATGGGAATTGGTAGATCCCAATCCAGACGCTCGCCAATTATTCATGATGTACAATGACAGATATTTCGGGGGCAAGCTTGCTGGTGTCGAAGTGAGATGGAGTCCTCGGATGACACTGTGAGTTGATAATAGAATTCGTTTTGTTGAGAAGTTCTTGGAAATGATGTGCAAGATTGTAGGACTGCATGTAATATGACTGTGTAGCTCATACCAGGCCAAGGCCCTGGCCATTATGAAAGCTGGTAATCTCCATCTTGAGATCTCCCAGCTCTTCCCTGAAAGGCCTACTTCTCCTGCTGAGAGCCTCTGAGCCTCGTACATAAAGGTAAAATGCGATAGCTGGCCGAGCAGGCCCGTCGGAACCGGTCCCTTTGGTCAGGTCATCACTGAACCAGCTTGCTGGCCACCACACATGCATGTTTACTGCTGAAGAGGGCATGTTCACCCGCCACGGCATACACAAAGAGTGAAAAAGGCTATGGTATTGCCGGACCAATCGAAAACTGCTTCCGGTCAACATGTCTGGAAGACCGCTTGTCTCACGTGTCGAGCCATCCCATAGGCCACATCAAAATATAATTTTGTTTCCGGGCAAAGTGCCAAATGCACCAGCGGATTTCGTGCACATGCTCAGGAATGAGGATTTGTTTTTGGCATGGCCATAGCATATGCCGTTAAACACTGACCAGTTTTCTGTGTATAGTGGGCTTGATGCCGAAGACAGCCTTCACAGTATGCTGTGCAATGCTGCGAATGCCCCAAACAAGAGAAGCGGACGTTCGTCTGCATGTCCGATCTAAAAAAGACTGAGAGCCACCCAAATTGACTTCTTTGATTCTTTGATCGATTTCCAGGGTGACTTGTTTATGCATATCGGCCTGTACTCTGAAGTGTAGTACCGTAAAAGCCCCTGTATATGCCCACTTGAAATTAAGCCCACCCTCCGTGTACAAGCCCAGTCAGGGGAAGTCAACATTTTTGTGTCAAAATAGTGCCCATGTTTACGCCCGGCCATGCCAGCAATACCAGTACATGTACAGGTACCGATACCCAATACTTTCTCCTATGTTGATGAATATGTTTCAGGATCGCTTTTCCAAACCAAAGCACTGTTTCTGGTTCATTGAAACGGGGATGCTGTATTTATAGTGTGCATGCTCGGATAACAAATGAAATGGATACAGTTTTCGAGTCGTATTGAGCCAGGGGGGAATTTCAACATTTGTATTCCAAGTATACGCCCGGGTACAAAATAACGCCCGTGCTCTTGTATACGGCCAGGAAATCGAGGCTGCTATTTGATACGCCCGGGGCCTACACACGGGCTTTCACGGTAGTAGTGTTCACTGTAAGAAACTAAGAATGATAGGCCACAAGAATACTGTGTGAGGTGGACACTCGGTAAATGTCTCTTGTGTGCCGTGTAGATGTGCAGGTCTGTGCTGCTACGAGGGTCGTGGTGGCTTGTGTTCCATTCGATTGAGCCAACCACTGCTCAAGCTGAGACCGCGGCGTGATTTGGTGCAGACATTACTGGTGAGTAGAAAGGCAAGCTGCCGCTGTTGCAGGTGCTACGAATCTCGAAGAACTTTATTGAAAAATCCATGATTATCCGGGAAGATGAATAGAGGAATCCAAGTTCAGCGCATTCTGTTGCAGGTGCTACTACCACTAACATGAATGCATGGTAGTACTTGTTTCAGTGCTAAGTCTTGTTACTGTATTGCAAGGGATTTGAAGTGAAGTGATATACTGTAAGACCAGTTATGTTAACGACGATTTAAACGAATTTAAACAATTCGTTAGCATTTGAAGTCGTTATGTACAAAACGATGTGGACCTGCACAGTCATTTGCTGGTTTTGAGACGGAATTCGTTAGAATTTCACCTGGCTAACCCACAAAATCCGGAGATCGTTAACTTGAATTGACGTTAAAAATTACTTAAAATATCTGGTCTTACACTTAACAGTATGCCCTACTCGCTTTGATAGTACTGTACTGATGTGGGTCGAGGCAATGCAGACAGGCTAGCCTAGCAGCAGCAGTGTGTGTGTGGTGTGTGGTGTGTGTGTGTGTGTGTGTGTGTGTGTGTGTGTGTGTGTGTGTGTGTGTGTGTGTGTGTATCAGACCATCGGGTAAAAGGAGAGCGATCCCTCTCGCGTGCCTTCGCTCTCCATATTTTCATTTTGGGCGCACTTTTCGTTGCGCGCCTTGAGAATTTCGAGCGCATCCGCATCACTATGAAGTCCATTCTGCAAAGACTCAAATATTCCGTAACTTGGCTTTCCCTCAACGGAATTTAGTAATCGAAAGGTCTATTCGCATTAGAAAGTTCTCAGCTGTCGGCTCCAACAAATCTGAAGTCGATTCGAGGTCGAGTAGTGGAGTTACGGCACTCGCGAGGTATTGTCCGTCCCGTTGCAAATTTTCACTTCCGCACTTGGGTGGCAATCATAATTTTGACATAATGGATTTCCCTCTGTTGCGTGACAGTCCGGGCATGCATAGACCTGTGTGACGTCAGGCACGGTTCTTTAGCGGTTAGCTACAAAAGAAAGGAGCGCTCTACGATGAATACTACAAAAAACCATGGATCTTAGCGAATTGTTTCAATTTTCCGTAGCGCGTGTCTTCCCAGCTCCCTAGGCTATAGGGCTTGAAAGTGCTACGTCACAGCATAGCAACAATTTCAAAAATTCAAAAACTGGATCCACTTGGATCCAGTTTTTGTATGGATCCAAGCACATTTCAAACGGTCTTACTCACAGGAAGGTGATGTAGCCAGTGAAACTGACTGATTTGACGAAATTTGGCGAAATAAAAGTCACACCTGCATGCGACATGAGTGGGTTGCTATGCACCCACATACTTAGGCAATAGCAAAGTCACAACTTACTACTCCCTGGCCGTTTTGACGTCATCACTTTCAAGCCCTATAGTGCCACTGCAGTAACACTCCAGCTGGTGAAAATCCCACTGGTGTGTTCCTCTTGCCAATAGCTTTCCAGAATGCTTGAGATTCATTGTTAAAATTGATGATGGGAAACTAAAGTTGTGGTCCGAACAGCTTCCATTTGTAGTTCGTACGGCGATTTTCCAGATCGAATTTGGCAGCTATTGGGTATTGAATCCGATTGGAGTATGGTAAGATGTTGAAAAAACCCGTATTGTGCTCACCTTGGATAGATAAGGCGAGCAATTGGGGGGGGGGGGGGGGGGGGGGGGCTGCTCTCCCACCACTCTCCTTGAGGGGATAGGGAGAGTGATTGTTCACTCTCCTGGATTTTTCTTCCACGAAGGTCTGTATGTGTGTGTGTGATTTTCCTGATTGACGTGGTGAATAGATTGGAAAGTGCGACAAGTCCGCGTGGTGTTGTGGGTTTTTTTTGTTGCTTCTGTTTGTGCAGCATGAGATGATCCATGCCTATCTGTTCGTGACGCAAAACAACAAAGTACGCCTCATGTCCCTCTGCCACACTCTGGCCTTCTTGCTCTCCCTCTCTATAGCCCCTTCCTTTCTATTTCTTCCAAGTATGTACAATTACGGGTAAAGTCGGATAAATCTTCTGTTTTTTCCTGGTCTGGACAAGAATTAGTCGCACTGTGCCATTACAAACTACTTTGTTTACCCTCAGTCTCTGGTGTGTACGTAACGAGAATAGGCTCCCAACTAACAATTCATGGTGTACATTTCTCTTCTAACTAATGTTTTTTTTATCTAACAAAATTACGTCCTCTACAGTATCTACTTCACGAGTGCATAACTAGGTGCCCCCTGTGTTGGTGTGTTTTAGGACCACGACGCTCATGGGCCAGAGTTTCACAAACACATGAAACGTATAAACCAAGATGCTGGAACCAAGATTACAGTGAGTTTGGCAGATCTCTCTCTCTCTCTCTCTCTCTCTCTCTCTCTCTCTCTCTCTCTCTCTCTCTCTCTCTCTCTCTCTCTCTCTCTCTCTCTCTCTCTCTCTCTCTCTCTCTCTCTCTCTCTCTCTCTCTCTCTCTTGCGGATAGGTCAAGCCCCACCGGATGACTGAAACGCGGATAGACGTCGATGTACTGTATTACAGTGCATTTCAAAACTATAGACGCGTAGGGTTTTTGAAATATTTCAAATTTGGCTGGAACTTTTTGAGAATAGTTTTCGGAATATTGCTCAGGATCGCTCCACAATTACTCTCATTATAGTTTCTAAAGGATTGGATAACAGACGCCCAATTTGGAAAAATTTATGCACAAAGTGATCACAGATTTTATGTGGTATAGATGCTGGCATAACGGTTTTTGCCTAGGTACGCGTCTATAGTTTTGAAATGGACTGTAGTATTAGCTTGCTGACGGTATCTGTACTGCCAAACTTCACAGTACACATGTCGAATCTGCAGTAGTTTATCACATCGCATGGCAGACTGCTGGTGTTGTCTACTTTTTATTTGTGTGTGTGTGTTTGTTTCCGTGTTCAGGTGTATCACAACTTCCACGATGAGGTAAGCCAGCTATCTGTTGTGTGGGATGCCTGTCAGGTGTACATGTACATGTTGTGTGTTCTAACCGACACTATCCGCCATGTTGCCTGATGATTGTGCTGCGTGCATTTTGCGCAGTGTAATATGCTATCATGTTCACAGTCATGTGCTGTGAATCTCATCAGTGTGCTTCGAAGTATGTGTCCAGCTGAAGGATGTGTAATACCATTTTATTATTATTTTTTAATAGCATGCATATTTTGATCTTGCAAAAGTGGCAATACGTTGCGCATGCTGCTGTATTCGATTCAACCCGGCTGGCGGCCATATTCGGTTCAACGCTACCGAGTTCCTGGGCTCGTCTGTCCATGCACCACACTGACTGTATATGTACATGTATATGTTCTACTCTGTGTGTGTGTGTGTGTGTGTGTGTGTGTGTGTGTGTGTGTGTGTGTGTGTGTGTGTGTGTGTGTGTGTGTGTGTGTGTGTGTGCTGACTTTGCCACCTCAGGTCAATACGTATCGACAGCACTGGTGGCGATGCGATGGCAAGTGTCGAGAGCGCCCACCCTTCTTTGGCTACGTCAAGCGCGCCATGAACCGAGCGCCTCATCCGAGAGACACTTGGTGGAACGAGCACCAGCAAACATGCGGTGGTAAATTCACGAAAGTCAAGGAGCCTGAAGGGTACGGGACTAAATCTTCAAAGAAAAGGAAACAAGCTGACGATGCTGGCTCTGCGAAAAGGAGCAGTAGTGCGGTAGCGCCACCTGCGGCTAAGAAAGAGCGGACACTGGATAGCATCTGGAAGGCTAGTGACGAGAAGCAGCGGCCCGTGGCCCGGACATCTGGCGCCGTCACGGAATCGCAGCCGACTGGTGCTGCCAGGTCGTCGAACCCTGAAGGCGAAGATGGGCATCGCAGCGCATCAACCCCACACTTTCCAGGCAGTGGCCATGTCCTTGGTGCTGCAACTAGTACTGGTATGTCGCAAAGGTCTGCGGGCAGATCAGGCAGTGAGCTAAGTCAAGGAGTCACTGCGTCTCGGCATCCAGCATCGAAACACAACCTGACCAGCGGAATAGATTCTCCGGGTATGCCACGCCGTCCAGTAAAGCATGAAGACGACAAGAGATTAGGAATAGGCACTGGTAGCCGTATCAGGCCGCCTTCACAACCCATGCAGTCAAGTACCACACACCCTTCAGCAAACATTCACAGCCATGTACTTGATGATGATGATGATGATGATGATGACCAATTTCAACCGGTCCCCGTCTTGAAGCGGTCGCCTGTGAAGACTTCTGGTCGTACTTTGAGTGACCTGCTACTTCGCCAGGGTAAGGACCGTGCAAAGTCCGCACAGCCACACACCAGTAGTCGTGCAAGTACTTCTGATTTTCAGCCTGCTGCATCAGCCGCCACATCGCGTTCATCTCGCGTTTGTATCGATCTGGTTGATGAAGATGAGGATGTAGTGAGTCGGCATGATCCAACTTCTCTTGCCAATGTACTGTCTCGTCCTGCTGCCCACGAACACAGTGCTCCTTCACCCAGCCTAGTCGCAGCAAGCCATATGCCCACTTCTGCACAACATCAGCCTGAAGCAGCCGCCGACACAGGTAGCCTAGTGGCATGTCCTGCCTGTGGCAGAATGATGCCAGAGGTGACAATAAACACACACTTAGATGACTGCCTTAGATGACTCACTTTTATCGTACCGTTTCCAAGGACATGTACTCATATACGATAAACTTGCACACATGCGTGGAACTGATTTTGAACTTCGCCGGGGCCCTTGTTCTCACGATTATACTTTGCACACGAGTTAATTGTTGAAAGTGCGCGCTACAAATGTAGTGTGTGAACTATTGTTTCGAAATGCAAAATCCAGAATTCCGGGCATTTTCAGGGAGCAGTGCAATGCATTTTTCTACTACCTGCTTTTAAGTTCTAATACACCGTCTTTATTCTGGAATTAACACAGTGTTATTTTTCTACTCCCTGCTTTTTTTTAAAGTTTTTACACACAGTCTTTATTCTGGAATTATTACAGAAATTGTGTGGGAACAAATGTTCCGCACGCTCGAAAGTCAAAACAGCAATGACATGCAAAAGACGTTGTACCGGATCTTGAAGGGCACGTGCCCGCGTGACTCGCGCATGCGCACAGGCCGGTCCAGCTCGCTGTGCTGTCTGCTAACGCTCATCAAACGGCCTAGAAAGTATGTCATGGGCTTCATTCAGGCAGTCAAAGTCTATGGCCTTACTAACGCTTTCAGGAGTACACAATTCCATGGGTATGCAGTACTGTCATAACTCTCCTCCATAATTACATCATTCCATTGTCTGAGCTGCTTAGCTGTAAGCAAAACTGGGCAATGTTATGATCTGTAGCAAGAGTCGATGAACCGCTCATGGACTCTTTGTCTGCCATAGTGGCTTTGTCTGCGGTTGTGTGGACGTGCACGGCCGCACGCACCATCACGTACAACTATCCGTCTAGCCTTGGATATCGATGGCATATGTGTATGTGATACACATACAAGAGAGAGAGAGAGGGGGGGTGTTGCAACTCCGAGGAGTTTCACGTAATCATGATCATCAGGTAACTGATTCAGTGAAACGCGGAGTTACAACACAGCTTCCCCTCTCTCTCTCTCTCTCTCTCTCTCTCTCTCTCTCTCTCTCTCTCTCTCTCTCTCTCTCTCTCTCTCTCTCTCTCTCTCTCTCTCGTGTTGAAGGCTCTGCCCTATATGGGTATGGAGCACGCTACTTGATTGCGTTATGTGATACTAGTACACATACACATGCGCGCACACAAACACACACACACACACAAAATCCGATGATTTTGGTGGCTGAACATTGCCAGCATATTGGTTAAGATAATCTACCAACTGTATGACAAGCACAAACACTGAACATTAGGGTGTGCTAGTCTGGGTTGGACACGCAGTGGCCAGCAAAGTCCATGACTGTTCAAGACTGTTCCGAGGCACACAAATAGAACATTAGACCAGTACAGTACCATGCTACAATCAGAAGGCAGTGGGAAACTAAAGAGGGCGTCAAGGTCATTGTTCGTTAGGAGCCTAGCTCTGGGAGAGTATAACTCAGACAATATCTATACCACTATGTACATTGTACTCGGTACATTAAAAAAAAGGTCCACAAACTATTAGTTGAAACTACACTATGTGCCACTGTAAATATGTACACTTTGTGAACGGAAATAATTAAATTTGGTGAAAAAAGAAAAATTAAAAAAATGGAAAACACTTGGAGTTTGAATGAAACCCTAAAAGAAAGTAGCGGATTAGAATAGAGTTGCTAGAACTAATGTGAACATATGAGTATTGTACGCAATGAACTATGCTTGGTTTTCAACCTGCAGTAAAGAATAATATATATTTTTTAAAGGTTCGGGGACAACAACGCAGGCACATCTCACAAAGCAGCTGCGGACACAACAAAACGCCCCATCAAAACCAGGGCAATCGAAAACAACTTTCTTTCGCTGCTGCTGCTGCTGCAAGATGGTCGTGCACCGTGGTGTGACAGCAGATATTGAACAACAAAATGACGCAAGCCTCCATCATTCTCCAAGGGAAAAGCAGACATCGGTCTCCATCCATAGATAATACCATACCTGGGTTATAAGTACCTCAGGCCGCCACCACCACCAGGCAAAATACTTAGAGGTAGTTTTGCACAAAGTAGACAAACATAGCGATAATGGCAACAATCACTGCCACAAGCAAAGCACATCCTTGAAGCCTGCACAAGACACACACACACACAGCAACCACACCACAGTTTCGTATTGAATTGTGTCTGAGGGACTATTTCAAACTGTTGTTGAATACCAACATACATGTACACGCACAAAGCACACGCACGCCACGCAAATGGCCCCGATACACGCTGGTGGATAGGTCACGTGTTTCTCATTGAGCGAGCGATAGACAAGAGGGGCCACAGGCGTTGATGACTGGATAAGTCATGCTGCCGTATGATACATGTCTGACAAACAGGACATTGAAGTGGAAATTTACCCCTTCCAGCAACGGTAGGATACTTGGCAGATCGGTTACGCTTGCAAACACAAAACACCGGATGGACACTAACAACAGCGGCAACAACTTGACCAGCGAGCAGTGGTGCAGCATGGTTTCCACACACACATACGCACACATACACACGCACACACACACTACCACCGCACACGCACACACTACCACCGCACACGCACACACTACCACCGCACACACACACACACACACACACACACACACACACACACACACACACACACACACACACACACACACACACACACACACCAGCACCACCAACACCAGCACCACAACCTAGCACACATGTAGACGAACACACATCGACATTCCAATTCACACATCAGTGACCATCCAAGCTCCACACCCTGTTCACATCCACTAACCTGGAGAGACATGGGTGATCCGACATGTGCGATCTGACACACTAACAATGGCAGGTATGTCGGTTGTCACATCGCAGTTTTCATTCAGAGGCAATGATATCAGTGCCACGCTTGTGACATACATGCTGTGTAGCTCCTTCACATGCATTAATGTCTGCAGGACAATAGGAGACACGCAATGCAGTCAGCATGCATGCACATGCACACGCACAAGCACACACACAAGCACAAGCACACACACACACACATACACATACAGAAACATGGCATTGTAGGACAAATCGTACAGAGATGAGACCAGTGCTGTCTAGTAGTAGTCTCTACCCTACAATACTAGTAGAAGCTACAGAGAGGAGCAGTCACCACATAACACCCCCCCCCCCCCCCCCCCACACACACACCCCATACACACACACACATACACACGCACACATATACACTAGTGTTTAAACCGAACACGGATTCTTCGAACGAATAATCTATCGAATAATTTCGCCCTCCATCGAACGAATAATCTATATTCTATCATACGCATGATGGCATTTTTCAACACTTTTTCAGCACTTTTAAGTAGTTTTTTTGATTTTTTTGCTGATTATCGGATTTTGTTATGTGGAGGTGCAAAACCGGTTAACCTGTACCGCCAAGAGTACATAACCCCCAGAGTGTGCAACGCCTGATACAGCTTTGCATAGGGTCTTGGTCGAAAGTGGTCAAAGACCGAAAATCACATTCACTGCATCCATGTTTCCCTCGTATGGAAAGAACAGAAGTATTACTAGATACTAGGATTACTAGATACCGATAGGAGATTAAAAATTGGAGGAGAAGAGATTGAGAAGAAATACTACGAGCAGATCTACGCAGTGCAAATATCAGTAGGGTCAGCACTGAGCATAGATCGTTTTTTTTTTTTTTTTTTTTTTTTTTTTTTTCGATTTCTGATAATTCCTACGACTATTCGATTATTCGTTCACCCCACGAATATTCTAAATTATTCGATTATTCGATTATTCGTTTCAACACTAATATACACGCACACATATACACGCACACATATACACGCACACATACATATACACTCACACACACACACACACACACCCACACATACACCCACACACACACATACACTCACACACACACATACACTCACACACATACACACACACACACACACACACTCTCTCACACACACACACCCACACATACACACACACACACACTCTCTCACACACACTGACACATATCACACACCAAACCAGTGCATAACTACCAAGTGAAAAGCACGCACTAGCCCTCACCTGTAAAGAATCATTAAGAATTCGAACAGATCCGTGCAAGGTACCAACGCCAATAAACGACCAGACCTGCATGGGACAGTTGTTGTAAACCGGACAGAAAG